GAACTCAATACTGTATTTTCGATTGACCTGTTCTTGTAGCCTATTACTTGAGAAATCTATTTATATATGATTTAACCCAGCGCCGATAATTTGTCGTTAAAAAAAATTTTAATATTTATTTTTTTTTTTTAATTTGGTCTCATCGGCGTCGACTACTATGGCCATTAGCCTCGTATTCTGTGTAGGCTTTGTTACTGTTTCCCAGCGCCACTTTAGGAACAGCACTGTTAATTAGAACCCAACAGTGAATGGTCAAGTGGGGAATCCTACCTATGCATAAGAATTAATGTTTAATTTTTTTTAATTAAATAAAAATCCCTGACAACGGTGGGATTCGATCCTGAGACCTTCCGATCTCAAAGTCATGACTCTAACCACTGAACCAACCCACCCCCATTTGAATATTTAAAGTTTTTTTTAAGTACCTATATTCATTTCATTTTTACTAATATTTATTTTTCCAAATACGGATAACTTCCCTTTGTTATTATCATTAATATTGTTATTACTAATATTATTATAATAAGACAAATTAAGTAGTAAAATTGCTTTATTTTGTGATATCTAACTTGTATGCATTTTCTCACACAGGCTGCTTCTGGCTGCTAGTTTCTGCTTCGAGTACAGAAAACCCAAAAATTGACAGCTATCCGCAAACTAAAACAATTCAAAGAAAAGCATGTCTCAACATAACAGGAGGCAAGAAAACTACACCGACTAGAGCCATGCAAGACATTGATATTTACATCAAGGAGGTTGCTCTGATGACAAAGACACGCCTCCGCACGGTTGGAATAAAACCTGATGTAGGATCTGGTGAGGCGAGACGTCGCTTTTGGCAGGAGGCACTCGACACGCTCCCACTGCTTCAAGCGAACATGGACTCCATCTCACTGAGCTTTATCTTCCATAAGCCATAATTTAAAGTTATAACAGAACAAATAGAAGGGCAGGAAGTGGCAGGTACGATTTATATCTACACCGACGATTCTAAAACAAAACAAGGCTCAGGATGCGGAATATACTCCAGATCCTTAAACTTAAACATAAAATGGGCGCCCACTGTAGTTCAAACTGAGCACTCGGGGATTCTCATAGCAGCAAAATAAATCAACAGAAATAGTATCAATGGAAGGAACATGTTCATCTATACAGATAGCAGACAAGCACTTCTCACCCTGAACAGACGACACGTTACAGATACAGATGTTTAATTCATTCAAAAAACATATTGCTGGAATTTACTAAAATAAATTCATTACAATTTAATTAATTAACAGTAATTGCGGCTACATTTTAATGGTCTACCCGACGGCAATGTATTATATTGTTATCATTCATTTAAATTAAGCTTCATGGAAAAAACAGATCACGGCAGAAATTAGCCCCCGGATATTAGATTATTAATTACAAACTTACAATTATTTTATATATATTTTTAAATGTTCACCTGGTTAAAGACACAAGACACATTCTACCAATTTCGAAAATTATTAATTTTTTTTTTAATTGTTCCTAACCACACTAAAAACACTCTGTAAAAGTTGAAATATAGACAGTGGCAGAGCTGCAGAACTGCAAATCATCTACATTTCACAGACATTATTTTAGACATTCTAAAATATACGTAAAATAAATTTTATGGATAATCTCAATAATTTTAATTATTAAATAGTATGAATAGCGCGCGACGTATTTGACTATTATTTCATAGCTGAGAATAAGTCCAGAGCAGACCAATGGAAGACTCAACAAGAACTCGCCAGCGTCAGGTCATATTTATCTCTTAAAGGGGCCCTACACGTTACGATCTTTGATCTTTGTGAGATTTGAACTGCACAGTCCATCGATTCAGTCCAAAAACTCACCGTGAAGTGCTCCATCTGACACATCTGGCCTCTCCTCTGTTGTCAAATGTGAAGGTTGATATGATTTAATCTTGCATTTAGATCAGAACTGTACGTTTTGGACTGCATGCCATACAGTGGCGGTTTGCCCGTAATGGCACTTGGGCACGTGCCCTAGTATAATAAACCAAAAAAAAATAACTTACATATTTTATATTTTCCTCAATGCCTATTATTATTTTATCTAATATTCAGCGCAAACCGCGTTGGCACGACACTGGACGACCGGGCGTTGAGCGACGTTCCGAGAATTCCGAAATTAAGTGGAAGATGGGCACAGTAAATGTATGCCTCTGTTGTTTTCTCTCTCATTATAATGTGAAAAACAAGGACAACGACAATATCGCTTAGCTAGAGATGAACACATGCGATGGATTATACGTCACAAGCGAAGCGCTGTCCTAATCGTGACGTGCTGTACCCATGGCACAGATTACCTAGACCAGATACGAATGTACGCAGCGGCATCTTTACCGGATCCCTCACAAAGGCGATGCCGGTTTCGGCTTAAGGTGCGCGTTTGTTGGACCATGATAATTTATTTATTGTAATTACGAAAAAACGTTAGTTGGACCATTCGAATAGTCAAGAAAAAACTACAAAGAAAAATAACTTTTTTTTTATAAAGCAGTCAATAATATTTATAAATGGGACAAAATTTTATTTTTTTTTGGGTTTGTCTGACTTTTTCGAGGATTTCAAATCTCTGTTTGCATATTTAAGAGTCTTATAAATAATTTAATGGTGTACATTTTCGCAAATTGTTGGCAAGGATGACCAAATTCTATTTTGCTCATCTCAAAAAGGTATGCGTTGAAATTCCAGGCTTAGTTGACAAACTGTCAAATAGAGATATAAATATTTTTTCTAATTTGAAAATATAAAAGAGAAATTTTTCGCTGGGAGGTTTTAAATTGCCACACACCTTTTATTCAGAGTCGTATGCTTTAAAATGCTCCTACACGATGGAATTTTACATCGAAGTGTGTCAATACTATTTATGTTTATAAAGAGGATTTGATTAAATGTCTCGAAGAAATTATGAACACAGAATTCGATAAAAAAAACTATTAATCAGTCTAAAGGGTTGATAAATTTTTCTTCAGCAAAATAATGCCAAATTGCGATATACTTTTTGATCAACTGTAGAGTAGACAGCTCGATGCTCTCAAGGTTAAGATAAACATATCAAATTTTGCAGCAGCTATTCAAAATATTAGAAATAATATAGACACGCTAATTCATGAAGAATGGCAATCACAACAAGATCCACAAAAACTAAACTTAAACGACAACACCCAATCAGGTCCAAGTACAAGCAAGAAGAGACGGTTTGTTGAAAAGGAGGACCCCATTCCTAATATAAGGATATGTAAGAAAATTTGTGATACAATAGTAGTGCAGGTAAATGAACGTTTTAGTTTTACTACCAACCTAACAATTGCAAGTTTATTTGATAGTGAAAAATTTAAAGACTACCGAGGTTGTTTTCCAAATGAGGACGTTAAAACTGTGTTTAGCTTATTTCCAAACGTAAACCGCTTAAAATTCAAAAACGAACTGTCCATACTTTACACCCGAGATGACTTTGTGCAACACAATGGGGCCGTACCGTTATTACAAATGTTTTTTGAGAACAATTTGACAATTACATTTTCGGAATCTGTGGAGCTGCTAACTATCCTGTGTACAATTCCCATGACCACAGTGGAGAGTGAAAGATGTTTTTCGACACTAAAACGTATTAAAACATGTTTAAGGAACACTATATGCCAAGATAGATTGTGTGCGTTAGCTATGTTATCCATCGAAAAAAACTTATTCGGTCCATTCCAAATTTTAATAATCTGGTCATCGATCACTTCGCTAGCCAAAAACCCAGAAGAATGGACTTCAACGATAAGAAATAGTATACAACTGCAGCGGTATCTAGCAGTTAGTCTTCAATTTTGTAATTTTGTAATTTTGTTAATTTGTTTTGAAATATATTTAATTTTCATTAAGCGGAGAACTTGTTTTCCTAAGGGAAAAACGAATCCCGGGATTGCTTTCCAGTGTGTGCCCCACTGCCGCTAGTGCCCACGAGCCGCCACTGATGCCATATCGAAGCGTGAGGGGTCACCATTAGCTGGGTCGTTCCAGGACGGTCTGTGCATCGATTGGGCTGCCCACGCTCATTCTCACCTCCCGCGAATCTCTAAAAAGTAACGCCAAGACACGTAGTGTTTAGGCTACTTTTTTGCCAGGTCAACGAGCTTTGTATATGGATGTAGTTAATAAGTTAATAAACGAAAAGAGATTTTTTTAAATACTTATATGAGCATAAGTTTGTTCCCAAAAAGAACCGCAGAATATAATTAATGTATAAAAAGTAGGTGAATTTTTTGTAAATACATACCTATATACTTTATATTTGACAATTGTACACATGTGCAGTTTATATGAATAAATCTATTTATCTATCTTCTGTATTTTTCAATGATTTGTTTTTAACCTTGATGGTTTAGAAATTGATTTTTCAATTTGATTATCAGTATCACGACGATTGAGCACTCCGTATACAGCTCAAACATCATATCCACTCTTTGTTGCACGAACTACTATTCGAAGGTTTACAAAAAATAAAGATATCTCCACCCTAAGTAGTGTTATTATTGGTATTTCCTGAAAATTATACAAATATACCACAAGGTGTTCGGTTTGCTCTAAATTATATTTTATTTATATTTTAAGAAAAAAAAAATGTTTTCATTTTAGTTAATTTTATGACGCTCCAAACTTGTTATTCCTAACAGCACTGTTTACTGTCCAATACTTTGCATTAAAAGTATCTAGAAATATTTTCAAATTTCCAAAACAACACGTTAAAAATTATCATCACAAAAAATGTAGAAAGAAAACTGCTTCATCACATTAGCAAGGTTTTCGTTATTTTCTAAGGATTTTTGTCATTGCTTGAATAATAGTAAATTAATGTTACCATGTAAATAAATAATATTATGAATTAGAAACCTGTACCTTATATACCTGTATTTAAAATGGGATGGATGGAGGACACTTCATAGGAACATTGCCCATTAAAATATATTTTACCTGCCCCTCCAACAATGGTGACCTTCATATTATCAAATCCACTAATAAAAGTACAGTTTTGATTCAATCTTTGTGTTCTTAATCTTAATAATGTTTTTCCATTTGTTCTGTAAAAGCTTTGAAACATTTTTAATAAATGAATCATTGTTCATCAACACAAAATTTTGACACACACTTCTTTAACATGACATTTATTTTATTTAATCATATTTATTTATAGTTCGTGCACAGGATAAAGAACAATACAGAAAAGAAACATAGGGCTAAAACATAAACCTAGCAACCGAAGCCACACCTTGTTCATGGTGGAGCATTGTCAAAATTGAACCGTAGATTTGTTACTTGTTCGAAGTGCAACAGTGCACACTTTTATAGCAGATGAACGAAGCTGTCACTGCTGTCGCTGTTAGAAAATCATTTTTTTCCTGTCGTCTTTATTTGTCGTTTTCGATTTTTGGTTATTTTTAGCGAATATTCTGAAAATTTTACATTTTTTAAGTGGTTTATTTTTAGTTTTTGTTGATGTTTTTAATTGTGGAGTTAATTTAAGACTTTATTGTACGTATTAAGATTAGGTTTATAAACAATGCCGCGTCAAAGAGGAGGAGGATATACTTGTATTTATCGTGGATGTACCTCAAGAACAGGTGGCAAAGAAGGATTGTTCACTCTTGTGAAAGATCCATTGAGGTAGGTATGAAACCTTGAGGGTGAAATAGGAATTGACCTTGCCATAACATGGTAGTACAATGATTGTATGTATTTTTCAGACTTGAATTGTGGCTTAAGGCAGCAAATAGAGAGAACTTATTAGGAAAGGGTGTTGAACAATTAAGTAGAAATTACAAAATTTGTGAACTACACTTCCAGGATAAATTCGTTTATCAGTCAGGAACAAGAAAACGATTATTTGCAAATGCATTCCCAACAGTATTTCCCCATTCAGAACCTACGAAAAGAGTCACAGTTTTGCAAGGTAAATAAATACAATTTATAGTTTAATGTTACAAAAAGTTTGCTACTCGTCTTGTCATTTTTTTACATTACATTTAGTAGTTTAAAAAATAAAATGATAAGTACTAATAATCTTAGAATATCAACCCATACATTCCATTTTGTAGAACTACCTCGGAGGTAAACTGCACTATGTCGACATACAACAACTTATGCAAATTAAAATAAAGTAGTTTTAGTAGTTAGGTTAATAAAAAATATAAATATTGTGACAATAAATGGGTGTCTAAATGCATACCTAATTGAAATTTAACAATTTAACAACATTAAATCTGCTGTACTAAAAAGTTGACTAGAATGACAGTGCAGTTTACCTCCTATGCACAGAAATATATTCACAATTTATAAAATTATTTTAAATTTCATCTGGCTAAAAAATGTGACTCAAACATTTAATTCTGACAAATGATGCACCTTCTCGACACTAGTTGATCTGATAAAAATTTGGGTTCTCTTTCTTTTTTTAAAGGAATTTGTTGTTCATGGCGAAGAAAGCAAAGACAACTTGTGTCTACCCTCAACTTCAGCAGAAGTAGAATTTATTGAACAAGTGCATAGTCGACCATCTGTTTCTCTACCTTGTGTAACAGTACAAATTCAAACGGGTAATTTGTTATCATCAAACACTCCAAGAAAGCAGAGAGTGCGACTGAAGATAGCAACGTTGAGAAAACGTTTGTTTGGTGCAAAAAGAAGAAAAATAATTACTCATTATTTAGTATTTTTTATAAGTACCGTTTATATAATTATTCTATATTTTTGTTGTATATTAGGATATAGTTATTGTAATAAAGCTACTTATCTATGTATTATAAATTAGACTTGCTCTATAAATCTGTGAAAACAATTTTAATTATTTTAATTTTCAAACAATTCTATTTTAATAAAATACATGCACTATATTGTAAACTTATCAATTGCATAAATATACGTTTTTTAATTTTTCTTTTTTTTTTATTCATAAAATCCCTAAAATACGCTTTAGCTAATGATTTTTTAACAATTATCCCAATTGATTTATACTTATGGATCATAAATGACAGGGTAAAATAAACTATTGTGTAAAACTTTAAAATTTTTAGTTTTGAAACCTGTCGGAAGTGCTATAAATCAAAAAATAACTTAAATCGAGAATAGTTTCAAATATACATTCATGCAAAATTTCATAAAAGAGAAATGTAGTTTTCGCAGTCTAGGTTCAGTGAATTAGGCATTCCAACGACCTGTCAAACATTATGTGCCAGTGGGAAATTCTTGTATATCTAAGGGGGTAGCGACATAGTCTTGCAACTTGGACGCTATTTTTATTCGAAGTAGTAGTCGCCAAGCCTGTCAATTTATGAAGAAATGTGTAGGTAGGTTTTTTAAATATTATTTTTATTGTGTTTGACATAAAATATTTAAATGTAATCCATTATTCATGATTTTACGTAAAGTAGAAAGAATACACCATATGTCGCCACCCTTAGATATACCAAACCTGCCCACTGGTAATTCATTTGTTTGGAATGCCTAATAGCTACGTTCGCGTGTACTGTGAATAATTACGTTTTCTCAGAGTATCTCTGTGGTGGAACTCAAGGTCAAATATTTCTATCCCTTCAACTTCAAAGTTCCGACCATTACTTTCTTTTCTGTATTGTTCTATCTTCTGTGGTTCGGGATACACTGAAAATGCAGTATGGCCAGACGTAGGCAATGTATTTCTAATGGGAGACCGGCAAACAGTTCCCACCTTTCCGATAGCAGTGACAGGGCAAGCACTACAACTATTAATGAATATTTTAATTATTGTAATATTTGTTTTGTTTTGAATACGTTGAAACCATTTATAAACATTAGTTATAGTCAGCTGACTTTTCTTCATGTTTTGATATCATTTTTAAATATATATCAGGTAATGTACAAAGCTTGACATTAATTTTTGTGTAAAAATATTATATGAAACTTTACCTACCGCTTTTCGGTTTTTATTGTAAATTTAACCATTTTCACAAAGTAAGATTTGAATTCAGCAAAATAAAACTATATACTTTTAATACCGTGTGATCGTAGAAAATTTCTTGTGTGTAATTCGAGTGGAAAGCTATTTGCCGCTTACGATGAAATGCCGCACTTCGCTGCGCGTCACGCGGCAACTTTTTATCTTAAGCGGCAAAGTTGCACTTTCCGCTCTTAATATACAAATACCTTTTATTGGCAATTAAACCAAGTGAACTAAAATGTTTATTTTATAAGATCAGTCCCATCACAATACATAACATTATCCAGATACAAACAAGAATTAAGATATATAATGCGTGGCATTCTAAATTATACTCTTCACAGTTTAACAAACCCCCCTCCTTAACTCCAATTTTCAATCAGATTTTTTTCAGAATCAATAGGCTTTGTCCCATTATAGAGCTTGCTTGAAATTTTCAAGTTGATATCATTTTTCGTTTTTGACATATCATGCAGACAAAAAACGTGACATCGGATAAAGTAAACCTATAATACTCTTCACAGACTACTGTGTGAAGAGTATAATATAGACCAAAAAAATAGGTACAATAAAAAAATAATACAATCAAAGTTTTGAAAATTATTTAATGTGTAATCACTGCCTCGGAGGTAAACTGCAGTCATTCTAATCAACTTTTTAGTAGAGCAGACTGAATGTTGTTTGGACACTTTTGTGTTTCATGTTTACATATATCAATTATATTTCGACAAGAAATGCAGTTAGCCCCAATTATTGTCACAATATGTATTGTTTACTAATACTCTAACTATAAAAACTTTTTATTGTTCTGATAACAATTTGTCTATGATATAGTGTCATATATCTCCAACATGCCTCTATAAATAGTACAACATAGTTCAGTTTACATCCAAGGTACTGATATCGGTAAATATTTAATTAAGTCTTCATGATATAGGTACATACCTACCATAGACACAACTATTTAGTTTCTTGAATTAATTTAGCCAAGTGCAATATTTATTTTTTATATTGTCTTTAAAAAAAACTATTATAATGTAAGTTCAGCTTCCATTTTTTTGTAAATGCATGCAACACCATCATTCGAGTTAAATCCTCACCGCTACATCAGTCTGACAATGTTTATCAGTACCTCCAGTATTTATATATAGGATATATTTCTATGACTTCAAATTCATTTGGGACAACCTACAAAATAAAACAATTATTCATACAAGGGCCAAGAAATTATTCTTGTTCGAATAAAATATATAATAAAATTGTCATACTTGTGAAATACCTTCAGGTGCAATAAACAATGATTTTTACTCGGCTGATAACTGCAATCTACGATCTGTTAGTTACGTAGTTTATATCATTGCCATAAGTGCCCTTTTCTTGATGGAACTCAGTTATCGCTTAATTTTGATGGTTTTCCTATAAAAGAGTACCGATGAAATTGTATCCATTTACGCAGTTTTCCGTTTTAGAGTTGGACATAAAACACATGACTATTTTGTAGAAATTGGAAAAAAAAAACAAAATATAAACCTAACCTCAAAAATAATAGTAAATGTTTAATCTGGAGCTTGGAGAGGTGTTGTGACGACGTCACTAAATTTTATTTTTAATTAATTTTAAAATGTACATTTTAATTAATTCCCGCCTGAGGACATGTCGACATGTGTTTCCCAGGAGTTCCCGTTTTTAAACAATTGCGAGTTCCCTCGTAGGTTAAAATATTTCCATATTTGCCGAAATATGAACGGGCATTTGTAGATTCAATTTCATGTCAATTATCTACTTGTATTTATTAAGGTCCTAGTAGGGCATTTTTTTCAATTTGAACAAGTAAACAGTCGGATGTGGTGGTAGTATCTCCCAATTCGAAATTGCCGGGCTTCGAGCTTGCCTGCTGAAAAGGAATAAATAAGATGAAGTAAAATTTGACCCTCTTTGATTCCTGACCATCGTAGTCTCTTCCTCTGCAGTGTTTGCCGTCGTGCCAGTAAAAGTTTTTAGTTTCCCGAGCGTAGCAGTGAGTGTATTATTGCCGTTTTCCAAGGTAGGAAATTTTCTAATTTTCGTTTTACAGTTTGGGACATCCGTTCAATTAGGCGGAGAATTTTGATTTATATTCATAGTGTTTTCATTTTACCCCTTAGTGGGAAACCGTTGGAAATTTTTACTTAAGGCTGGATTGAGGCTTGATTTATGATTATCTCAATTTCGACGATTCTATCCAATCTC